AGGATTCTTCTCATCTAATGACATAAAGGCAGAATTTCTTGCATTGGTTCTGAGGGGAACTGCAGAATAAGAAGAAATCAAAAAGCAGTGGAAGACAGGCTATTCTAAAAATAAATAAAACACAAATATGCACACACATACCTCCCCTCGGACTGCTTTCCTGGAGCAGTCCTGCTTTCTTCTATCGTCAAAAAAAGTTCCAAGAGGGGCTTCTGTGCCTTTCCACTCCTTCCCTCACAAATGGCAGCTGGGGTAATAAAAGATACCATGTGTTCTGTTGATATCTCACAGATTTTTTTTCAAGATATGCTCCAGGCAAAAAGGTTCAATGAAAACTGACAGAAATCTCAGAAAAAACTTTCAAAAATTCAGCCTGAAAGCGCTCATGCCCAAAGTGAAGCTAGATGTGGTGAAATTCATCTCAATATGTCAAAGCAACCTCAAACCGCTACCTGCCATCTTCGAGACTCCACAGCAGTCAAACGAGGTTCTAGAAGAACCTCAGTGGTTCTCTGCCAAACTAGGAGAAAGTAACTCGTCCTTGGGGGTCAGTCCTGTATCTAAGACTGTCCAACACTAAACTCCGACAATACAACAAAGAAAACTTTTATTAAACCTGCAACTTCTACAAAGCCTGAAAAAAGTGTAGCATGGTAGAGGACAGGATTAGAATTCAAAATTATTTGAATAAAATGGAAAACCACTTGGAATTAAATAAGTAAGCTTTCATTAAAGAGAACTGCAAAGTCACATAGCTAGTAGGTATAATTGACTGCAGAAATACGAGATCAGAATTAACTGGGTGCATTGCAGTTCTGCAGAAACTCAGGAATATAATAGATCACAAACTGCAGACAGTATCAGTGTTACAAACATCAGCAAACTTAGTAACGGGGTGTAAAACAAAGAGCAAAATATGTAAGACACATGGAAGATATCTAGCTTGTTCGGGTATGACAAGACAAAAGAAAGTTAGATCAATTGGACTGCAGAGGAAAAGAGGGTTGGAAGGTATAATTCCAATATCAGGGGGTTGGAAGATAAAATTTGGCAGGGTAGGTGGTTTTACTCAGCCCAGAGCCCAAGGGAAGATGTATACATAGCTGCCAAACCATGTACAAAGTTGTTACTAACTCTAAGGAAACATGTATTCTATGTATTTACTCTGGACCAGTAAGTATTGAACTGAAGAGTTCAGTAACACAGATCTAAGTTAAATGCTAGAAACAGGGTGGGGGGAAAAAAAATAACAATAGGTTTGAGGAAGCACGGACATAGATGTATGAGACCCGCCATCGGAAATTTAAGACTATATGAAGGCAATAGCTCCCAAACTTCTTAAGCTAGAGGACCACTGCCAATCAGATCTCATATCTTACTGGTAACTACCGAAACTGAAAAGGCAAGTTAGTATACATCACTAGCAGACCACCAAACACCTGGCTAGAAATACATCTGCAAGGAATGGGTATGGTAGACCTTGATTCCGTCTGGCACAAGGGAATACACTAAATAGGCATTTCTCTATTTCTTAAATCGAACAACCACCTGGCGTATTAAAGAGCAACCCATGAATCACTGCATTTCCTGATGCTCTTCAGGGGAGATGGGGCAAAAAATAAAGTAATAACTACTGTTTATCACTTCTCAAAACAGCATAAATAGATAAAAAAGTAATCAGAAACATATTAAAATAGTGATAGAGCAATGAACGTGACTCAACCAAAGCATCAGTGTTCAGACATTTCAGAGGCATTTCATTAATTTCTTACAGTTTCAATATGTTAAGATAACAAACACAAAAAATAATTGCATAAATAAGTCTTCTTTGCCTATCACAGACATTTTTCTAGTCTCACGTGTTATTTCTGTTAAAAAAGAGACATGTTAGCACTTAGTCCAAAGGATCCACAGAAGGTCTATTTCAATTGCATCTTCTCTTATAAAAAGTTTTCATTAACAATCTGCTAAGAATAAGAATTATCCATTTGTCACTGGCACTCTGCCACGTTCACTTAGTTTTCAAACAGGTGTATTCATACATCATGTGTGTACCCGGGAATCAAGCAATACTCTTTGAGACTACAGACCACTCCCCTAAACGATGAGTGCAACAGCTACCAGACTCAGTGATTTGAGCTGCAAGTGTAATAAGCAGAAGTATTGGACACTTCACGCCCCAGAAAAATCACATTAAAATATCTTGTAATTGAAAGTCAGGAAATAATTCCTTTAATTATTTCCACTTCATTAATTAAAACCATTCACTTTTATCCCTACCTTCCATAAGCATACTGACCTCTTCAAGTCATAATTCAAGTGTGAGTGTATGGGAATAAGTAGGCAAGCACTATCATGGGAGCATGTCACCAGAAACATTAAGGCAAGCAGCTAGGGCAGTAGCTTTGCGGCACTCCGTGTCAGCTAACGTGCATGTGGGGAAGCAGGGGAGATCAACGCCTTCAGATGACCTAGACAGAGCTAGGCAGAGATTTATACCAGCTCATTTGGTAACAAATCCAACTGTACGTTCTGTTTAACTCTCTGGACTGAATTCGTAGAAGCATCCCGAGCCAAGGCTCCAAACTTAGTAAGAGAGAAACAGACTTCATACATGGACAAGACAAATTCCCGCATCTCCTTGACAATAGGGCACACAGTCCTTGGGACACAAATACCAAACACTTCTACATTAGTCGTGGAGAGAGGGAGGGAAGATGGACAGTTTCTAATTCTAGGAGAAAATACATGTGTTTACAGAGAAGAGGATAAAAAAAAAGCACCTAAGCCTAGATTAAATGTAGCTGAAGCAACTAGAACTCTCAGCTCATACAGATACTCCTGTACGAGAACTGACTGAATTTTTTTCTTTGCCGAAAGAGGACAAACATAACTCTTAGAATAATTGGAGCAGGAAGCAGTATGTTGTAAACACCAATCCATAAATTTATTTTTTCCTCCATCTCTCTGCTCCATTCAGGCATTCCCTGAAAAGATTCCAACTCCAAACCTATACACTGTTTACTATGATAAGCTATCAATGACCTCAACCACTCCAAAATGTAAAATTAGTCAATATGCTTGCTCAGCACTCTTTTTCTACTCAACCTATAGCGATCCAAGTTCACACCAGACAGAAATATGGTGTATCTCCACTGAAATAAGAGCAGTGGCACCTGCTTATATTTATTTGACTCATCTTGGCAAAACCAGAAAAAAAGTCCGATGAAAAACATAACCAAAATACTGCCACGTAAGAACTAAGCACTACTTGAAACTAAGAAACAGTATTACCAGAATTATTAAAATCCTGGAAAACTGAAATCAGCAATAGTTCCAATCAACTCCTTCTACAGTTTCTTTCAAGCTTAACGTTAATTTTTGGATTTCTTTCTTTCTGCCACTAACACTTCAACTCTTACTTCAAGAAGGCATTTAGGTGTTCTGTTGCCAAAAAGTACCATTCTTACACAACAAAGACGACAGACTTACAAATGAAAAGGCCTCCATACCAAATAAACAGAAGTAATGGAATACAAGTAAGTTTCCTTTTTCCTCCTCACTTCAAAATACCAGAATTTTCAGTTCCATAACCTGAGTCGGGCTGCCTTCCCTCCTCCTCTTTGTATAGGCTTAGGTGAAAAGCTTTTCAGACATTTCCCAAGTACATGAGCTTCATGCTGCAACTGAGCCAATTAAAACAGGAAGCCACTTGTAATATTCCTTCAGGTATTCCATAAATTCCAAACCTCAGCTGTAACTGACTTACCTGTTCTGCAATCTCAAGGTACTACGCTTTTTAATGAAGAGAGGCAAGAAAATGAACAACTAGCCTTAGCTAGTTGGACTTGAATTCCAATCAGCCTCACAGAACCACTACAAGACTATTTCATTTTATGTCTGGAAAGGTGGCATGTGATCCATGAAAGAGCGACACATGTATTGAAAAATTAAATTGCTGCAAAAAATAAAGAAGAATGGAAATTGGCTAAAAGTTGCCCAAGTTTAAAAAAGAAAAAAGATTAAAAAAAAAGACACTGGGAAAGACAAGAGACACTATTCAAAGTAATTATCAAAAAACAACATGGAATGGACACCTCTGGTTGAGAAGATCTAAATCAGTGTTCTGCTGCTTCATCTCATTTCTCATCCAACAATTTTTGCGAAAAATTATTTATTAACGTGCTTGCCAAGTGATGTAGACACAGAGTTAAAGCGGCTATGCTACAAAAACCCACTTCCTCTTACCCACTGCACAAACAGAACAGTGATGATGGTACAGTGCTACTCCACACAAAAAAAGTTTAATTCTTTCCCACATGCTGTATTTTGAAAGTAGACAAATTTGAAAGGCTATCAGTTTTCATGTTACAATTTTTTTCATCTGTTCACAAATTATAGGTATTTTTGATTTGAAGAGAATAAATAATGTATCCATTTTACTCCAGCAATACATGACATGGACTGGGACAAATCTCTAACTTTCTAAAGAATAGTAATTTAATACTTTATGAACTGTATGCCTATTTCTATTTACTTGCTTTGAAACAAGTCCATAATATTCTTTTTCTAAATTTTACATAAAAACTGTGAGCCAAAACTAAAAATTCTTAGAAGAACAATAACTTTTGCCCAGAGTTTTCTCCCTCTTTCTAAGCCGATACACACATCTTGTTTCAGATGTTCTGAACAAAATGGAAAACACAAGGATCTCACTAGCTCAGTCTTTTAAAACAAATTATGACAAGTATTTAAGAACTGCAAGAAATTCCTTTGACAAGAGGAGAGAAAATGTCAATACTAGAAAACCCCATTAGGTTATCTGTACCAAGCAGACATTAGAGAATAGATTAATTGAAAGATGGAAAAGAGGAGAAGTCAGTGAAAGAAATCAATAATAAATTTACTATACAATCATCAATGAGAAAACTGTATTATTGGAAGTATTTGGAACTGACTTCACTGTCTGTAGATATTTTCTCAATTTTCTTTCTACTTACCTAGACCTTTTTGTCCAGGGTTTTTAGCAAAGTTAAAAGTAAACTGATAAAAATCTTTGAACTTTGTTGGATCCTTCAGCTCTTGTTCCAGTCTTGGCAACAGAGTTTTTAGTTTTTCTGTGGTGTCACACCTGTTCAAAAAAGGTTACGTTATTGGTAAATATTTAATATTTCTTTTTACTTGTTTTTATCCTTCTCTTCTTGTTTGTTTTTTTTCAAGGTTTAGTTTCAGAGCAAAATAAAACAGTAGTTAAGATAAAAACAGAGTATCTTTCTGGATCTGGATAGCATTCCTGAAAAATATAAAATCTCCTATGCCTTTACTAAACGATTTTAAGTGGAATGTTACATACAGGCATCCACTAAGTACACAACCCAAAGAGGATTCAGTGGTTTAACTTCTTTTCTCGGTTTCTTCATGAGTTTATGAACTGAAACAATGGCTATTATTCTGTTCTTGAAGAACATATAAACTTCACTGAAATCCATCATCCTTTACCCTTCAATAGCTGTTGTAACACAACGGTGAAGGTTTTTGCTTTAACCTAGAGAGACATTACTTACTCCCTGCTCTACCTAAATGAAAAGCTGCATACTATGTGCACAGTTAATCTTAACATTAGAGGACTTTCAAACAAAATGAACTATGATTTGCAGTCATCCTCTCCCCACCATAGAACACCTGCGGATAAAAACCTAGGAAAAAAACCAAGCCTTTGACCATAGCTTGAAGGCTGACAAACCATTTAACAGCCTGGCACAGGTATGCTAAGATAGAATCAAGTTACTGAGATTCTAACAGCAACACATTCCTTAATAACACAAGCCTGGAGCATTTTCAGTGAAAGCACCTGAGCTGACAAGATGCAATTTTAAAAAGAAAAAGGGTTTCCTCTATGCTAAGGAATCAAATGAATATTCAAGGTTTACAGCATATTACAATATTTTGAATTGTACCTAGAAACTCAGAGCAAGGGAAATAGGTTTCAAAGAAGCCGCTGTCATAACTAACATCTTGCATTTGAAAGTTCTCAGTAGCTAAATGTTGTATTTATCCTAAAGATTCAAAAATAATTTTATTAAAGAATGGATAACTACAGCAAAATCCATAAAATGCAGATGCAGTTTCAACTGTTTTGCATGTTACAGATAAAAATAGGTACCTTTCTGACCTCCAGCAGTACCTGGTGGAGAAAAGATACAGAATTCTGCCAACAGTCTTCAACTGAGAACTTCAGTTTCACAGGGCCTTGATCTAGTTAACAATGGGGACAAATATCATCCCTTCCCATAGGGACCCTAAAGATGCTATATGAACTAAGCCTCAGGGAATTTCTTTTCATTCAAAACTTCATCTATGTTCAATGCTAAAACCCACAGACACTGCACCTCAAGTACATAACAAAATCATTCCAAATTCTCAATAAGCAGCACAGCAGTGGCAAGCGGGTATGATCAGGTTATGCTTCTAGAACACTATAGTGTGTGTTGAGCAGAAAGAGATAAAAATCACAGACCTCTGTGGGACTGTATCAGAGACAGTAAGAGGACATAGGAGCAATGTGGCAATAACGTTACAAAACAAAATCCAAGCCAGAAACCACAGGTGGTTTAGCAAAAACCCTTTAATCAGTTACGTCAAATCATGCTGGCAGCCTTTTATACAAAAGCATGAGCACTTGATTGCTGTCCATGGCTAGAATATCCTACTTCTTCTCACAGTCTCTACCCAAAGCTAGCCAAAGGGACAAAATAAAGCAATAGACGTCAGATGATACCAGAAGTTATTTCATCACATTTTCTGAATACCCTTAACTTAAAAATGAAAGCTTAGAAAGAAATCAGTAACTGGCGAGGTCAGTAACCTCAGACTGCTAGGACCTCTGCTCAAGAAAAAATTGCCATATTTGCTAGAAGTTGGTCTATTGTAGAAAACTATACGGCGCCTTTCTAAGATGAAGCAAAACTATTTAGCTACAAGAAACATGAACAAGTTTCTCCACCTATTTAATGCAGTCTGTTAAAAAAATCATTTCGACATCTCCATACATTAGAAATAGAGCATCTCTTCCAAGGAAAAGTTATACACAAAATATTACTTTACAGTGATAAATGCCAGACTTTATTGCTAAACAGAAGCGACGTGGTTTAACCTCAAAGTCTACTACCCAGAACATCTCCGTACACTGTCAGACTAAACAACCTTTTCTACTACCAAACCCTCATTTTTATTTCAATTTCTTATATTCTGTACAAATGAAGTATCTAGTATATCAGGCAATAAGAGAAAACTACGGTTTGCAAAACTGATAAAAAAAAAGTTGCATTTGGTGGTGATAAGGTAAAGAACTGAAGGTTCTTTTCTGCTTTAACACCGACTGAACTTTCCTCCTTCATGTATCTCCAGTGACTTTCAGCTTTTAACAGCACACAGGCCAACTCAAAACCTTAACACAACCATGCATATGTTTATTACGAATTACATAAAAAGTTCAGCTTACGCTGAACGCTTTGGGTTGGAAGGGACCTTTAAAGGTCATCTAGCCCCAATCCCCTGCAGTGAGCAGGGACATCTTCAACCAGACCAGGTTGCTCAAAGCCCCATCCAACCTGGCCTTGAATGTTTCCAGGGAGGGGACACCTATCACTTCTCTGGGCAACCTGTGCTGGTGTCTCACCACCCTCCTTGTAAAAAATTTCTTTCTTGTATCTAATCTAAATCTACCTTTTTTCAGTTTAAAGCCATTACTCTTTGTCCTCTCACAACAGGCCCTGCTAAAAAGTCTGTCCCCATCTTTCCCATAGGCCCCATTCAGGTACTGGAAGGCTGCTCTAAGGTCTTCCTGCAGCCTTCTCTTCTCCAGGTTGAACAGCCCCAACTCTCTCAGCTTTTCCTCACAGGAGAGGTGCTCCAGCCCTCAGATCATTTTTATGGCCTCCTCTGGACCCGCTCCAGCAGGTCCATATCTTTCCTGTGCTGAGGGCTCCACAGCTGGATGCAGTATCCGTCTGTCCTCCTTGCTGTACAGGTAGGAATTATTTGGCTTCACCCTTACTGCGGTCATTGTTAAGGCTTCGCAGTAAGGCACCACGCTAAGGAAGATGGGACACAACAGGCATTTAGCACCTGTTAAGCTTGGCACCAGCCTTAACAGCTTTTTGAAGATTCACACTGAATTCAATTAAAAATATTTTAAACAGAAACTGAGCTCAGGCCTTACATTATGAACTATGCAGAAATAGATACTTACCCCAACTCTGTCATGCCATCAACAAATTCCTTTTTACTGAATTCACATTGAGTAGCTGCCCTGAACTTCCATGCTACAACCAGAACACTGATACTGGCTGGGTCCAGGCTTAAATCATCACAGAACTGCTGAATCCCGTCAATGCCAATTTTATTTTCATCTTGTGGGTCTGCAGTTCAAAATACAAAGAGGAGAATTAATATTTATTTACAAAAATACTTACAAATCGTCACCTGCACAGCCTCGATATGCTACATAACACAGGTCTTCACTTTTCCATAAGCTTCACAAATGTCTTCACTTGAAATCTAGTAAATTCTAGAAGTACCTTAAAGAATATCTGTAAACCGATTAAGTATTCTGCAAAGTTCCCTAGAAATTGGTTTGCAACTTTTTCCTAAATTCATCAGCTAATGTTAATGAAACAGTTTTGTCTTCTCTCCACAATGCCCAGTAAAAGACCTGAATTAACTGAGGAGATGCCTGACTACATCTAAAACCAGTAAGGCTGATAAACACATCAAAATGTACAACGTATTTACTGTTAGCATGTATTTAACTTTAAAACAAACAGAACTCTCCCAAAAACCCCAAACCCCACGCCAACAAAACCACACCTACCAATTGAGCCCACAGATTTTTTCCCGATAGGGATGTATGAGAATCCACCATAACTGTTTCAAGACCACAGTTGACTCAAACATTTTTGGATTTTAATTAAAAGTCGGGGAAAAAACCAAAACATTGCTCAAACAATGCCTTAGCATAGCAGAGTCTTAAACTAAAGAATACAACTTAGGAAATACTAAGTTTCAGCAGTACTAAGTAGTACCTTTTTGAAGGTCAGAACCACACTTCCTAACTACCAATGTCAGGGTAGATGTCATTGTAACAATTCTGTAACAGAATTGTCTCTCGAAAAAAACTCCCAAAAAACAACCAGTCCCCCCCCCGCCCCGTAAACTTTAAAAATGGGAGGGGAAAAAGCCGAAACAACAAGAAAAATGAAATCACACCATTAGTTTTCAAAGCTTGACAGTTTACAAACTACAAAACTGGATAGAAAGACATGTCCATATCATAAGTTGGGCTCTACAGAAAAGTAGCCCTTGAGTAAATTTAAGACTAACTCCTTAAACTGGTAAGATTTTCAACCATACTATTTTTAAGTCCTTATTCAATGAGTTGATTAAAAACCCCAAGTCCAAATAAAACTTTTTTTTTTTTTTTTTTTTTTTGTGTGTGTGTGTGGGGGGGGTGTTAAGCCAAGATCTCTTCTGCTTTTCCAGCTAATACTACAGTGGAAGAAATACTAAAATGCAGGGAGAAGTAAATTTAGCAAACATAGACTTACACCCATTAAACAAAGAATTACACCCATGGTATAATTCAATGACCTTTGAGCAGGAATAACAAGGAAATATATGTGTTGTACTATATGCCAGATCAAGTTCTAAGACATGTAAAATGCATTTCTTGTATATTTGGCGAGTAATTGAAGAACCAAAGGCAAAAAGTGCACGAGTGTTGAAATCTGCAGAAAAATTCTGACGGATTTCAACAAGGACTGTTTCATCCTTATCAAGTTTCACATCATCCAGGTAACCAAGAACAAAAATGAAACTGTTTTGACAGAGTTGCTGGATAAACAGATAAGAAAACTAACACAAAGACAGCACACAAAATTAAAGACCTCTCATCTCAGATTTTAAGTATAGTGCAATGCCTATAGTAATCTATAGGCCCTGTAGGACAAAGGAATCCCTTGTCGCTGCCAGGCCAATGATTCTGGTTTAAGCTATATGAGAAAAAAGAAAGGCGCTTAACCAAGCCTTTTACTGTTTTCTCTCCTTTCTTGTGAAGGTTTTGTTCGAATTTACAACTTTATTTAAGCAGTAAAGTGATAGAACTGCAAAGGTGTGCTGCTAACCAAAACACAGAAAATAAAATGGACTACAGTTTCTTCACAAAAGCCAAGTGGTGCAGTTTGCCACCACTAGAAAATTATGAATAATAAATAACATTTGTGATTTTTTTCAGTTTAGACATTCTTTGTAGCAGTTACCAATTTGTATTTATTTTTGACCCAGCAATCTCTTAAGACTGACATGCAAGGAACAAGCTAAAGATTTAGATATTCATATATGTCATACATATATCTACATATATATAAAACAAATTTTAAAAAGTGGTTCTCTAGTATAAGGGTTGTCTTTTTTTTTTACAAGGCAAATGCTATAGTGTTGTTCAAAACAGAACATATTATGTAAAGAGTAATAAAAAAAGGTGGAAACAGTATCATAAGAACAGGACAAAGTGCATACGAAGCATGCCATATACTGCAATTAGAAAAGTACATAAAATCGTAGTTGAGTAATAGTTTGGAGTTCATTTTTTAAAACACGAGATGTGTGGATCTCAGCAGGGGCTGGTAATGATTCTGGCCCACCCTGCTCTAACACGTAACAAACAACGCACACATCCATGTCAGATGGCCACATTTCAGAAAGCACTGTTGCCTGGATCACAAACATTCTTATATTTACATGACTATCTTTTCCTTTTCTTTTTTTCTGTTCTTTTTAACAATGCTGTAAAATAAAAATAAGTGGAAAAGAGACAACCCTGTCTTTAATCCACTTGGCCTGTGGTTCTCCCTCCAAGCCTTTCTGAAACAGGCACATCACTTTTGTTGTAATATGCCAGCACAAAGAATATATTAAGGATGCAGTTTCCACAACTAGTTTTTGAGTTTTCTTATTTGACTGTTTTGTCAGACTCCTAGCTGTAACGCTATCTGAAACGTTATTGATTTAATGTATATAAATACTACTACCTTTGAACAAAAATAACATCCCCAAACATTAGTATAAGAATGATGTGTATTATTTTGCCACAAAGTGCACTGCACTTATATTTAATAGCAGCCACCGGCAATAAATCAAGTAAGTTGCATAATAAGCTTTACTCTCCTTCCCACCACATGTAGCCGACACCATTTCCTCATGATAGGTTTAATTCCCTATTGTGAATTTACTTTAAGCTCTACAGGAATATCTACAGAAGTTGTGTACTGAACAGTAAGAGCACTTCAAACTTTTTTCATTCTTACCTCACTACCGCAAACACAGAGGGAGAAGCAAAAGCTAGGAATCATTCCTCAGAAGTCCTTAAGAATGGCAGAGGGAAAAGCAGAAACAGCACCCAAACAAAATAATTAGAAAAAAAACCCACAACAAAAGAAAAAAACAACACCCCAAGCCTTACCTTTGTATCGATTATACAATTGTTCTAATTTCTTCCTGTCTACTGAGTTTTTCATGGATTCTTTGTAGTACAAGTCTGGGTTCTGGAAGTAGTTGTCTGTTGCCACTTCTAGCTTCCATTCATTCTGCATTAAGCAGTATATAGCAGTCCTTTCACCAGCCTGGGTAAATGCCATGAACTGGCGGACCTTGTCCTTCTGAGACGATTTAAGCTTATGCTTTGGGATGCAAAAGAAGCAGGAAAGCCAATGAAGCTAATCCAGAAGTTTGTTTCAGCATTCTACTACTAACGCCTATCTTTAAAAGGTTTTAGTTTTCTTGTTGATGACAACTTTCACTTCAGAATTACAGGAAGACAAAGCCTTGTTCTTCTGCAGTTAAAGAGACAGCATTTTCTTCTGAAAATTGAAATGACAGCATCTATATACACATTTTTAGCAGCACATATTCTGGCAGCAATACATCTGTATTTCTGCTTTATTGCTCACATACGCAGAAGGTTTTCTGTTCTGTAACAGCAGTAAACACAAGTTTCATCAAATAACAATATGGTTATCTTCTGAAAATATGCCTAGCGGCTACACAAACAAGATATCACATAGGCACAACTTACAGATTCTCAGATTCTGTGTAAGTCCTTCATACACAGAGAAAAAAACTGCTCAACAGTTTTCCTAATATTTTCCTAGCAACAACGAACAATGCAGAGTTTAATCATTTTAAGGGATCAGCTGAAAAAGGCAGAAGCACTTCTCACATTTTTATGGTAGAAGCCATTGCCAGCAGAAGACATCAATAAAAAGAAAACAGATAAAGCAGACACATCCGAGATTTGCTGAATGTTGCGATGAGACCACAAAGTTGCTGCGAATGGGATCTAAAACTTCAACTCTGAAAAAGATGTTTATACTACTAATACATTAAACAACAAAACTGCGTATTTTAGTGGTATAGAGGAACAAGTAAAGTGTTTCTCTAAACAGCAGCTAATTGCAGCAACCGTTATCTACACGTCTCAACAACCCTAAACTTCTGGAAAACCCAAGAGATAGGAACAGGGATTTCACAGGGAGCAGATTTGCTATTAACATAGCTCAACATCATCCTTTATGTGAAACTGGAAGAAGGAAGAGATAGCTTAAATCACACTCTGTTTTTTATTATATTCTGATACTTTCCAGTTTTGTTAAACGATACTTAACACTTCTTCTGGGCCAACAATTAAGCTGAGAAATTTGTCTAAGTTCCTCATTGCAGCTTAAATCATCATGTATAACAAAGTTTAGTGGTCTCTTAAAATATCACGGGGAAAAATTGAATCCCACTTCAGTAAACACGGGACCATCTTTCAGTTTACTCGTTATCTCTTGCACGCACATGGATGGTGGCATCTTGACCACAGATGGTCCTGAGATGAGAAACATATCATGTAAATAAGATAAGGACTTTGGTCTTCCCTACAAGATTTTTCAGTTTTATATAAGAAGAAAAATGTAAAGTTTCTTTCTATACAAGAAGAAAGATGTAAGGTGGGAAAAGAGCTGCAAAAACAACCACGACATACTTTGGTAAGACAACGTTCAGTGATCCTTTGACTGCAAGTTCTGTGCAACTTTCCCCCCCCAACAATTTTCACTGAGGTCTAACTAGGAGAGTCTCTCTGCGCTAAGACGTTCCTCGGTCACACAAACGTCTCGGCAAGAAACTGAGCGATGCCCACGCCAGAACAGAGGTCTCTGACAACCCCTCCCCAGCAAAACCCACGCCCTCTTGTCAGCGTACTTACGCCAGGCATTTCGGGGCATTTTCTGGGTTAAAAGCGAAACACCGAGCTATCTGAAGGCATCGGGGGTAAGAAACACTTCCCGCTCTGCCGCCCCACCACGTAGTAGCGGTGTAGCAGAAGCCAGGACAGCTTCCACCGCGCGTCCCGTCGGGGCGGGGGTCTGCAGGCCGCCTTCCTGGCACGCCTCCTCGCCGGCGGAGCCCGAGGAAGGGGGGGTGCACCTCGCAAGGGGACCCAAAAGAGGGGGTGCCCCTCGCCTCACGACACCGCTCCGCCCCGCTTCGGGAGCCCCCTCGGAACGGCGGTCGCCCCCGAAGGAAGG